GGGGGGGGGGGGGGGGGAGGTCGCCAAAAAAAATTCCGGAGAAAAATTTTTTCGTCGGTAACATTTTTTCTACAGTGAGTGCCCACCCAGAAATTGAGACCCAGCTACGGGCTTGCTTGCAACGTGAACAGGCAGTTTTTCTTTGACATTTTTGTCAACATTATATATTTGAGCACAATATATATTTGTTTAATAAATGTTAGACCTATTTGTAGACCAATATTGCCCATTAATTTATAGTAGCAGTTGACCTCAATAAAATTAACTCATCTACGGGCTTGCTTGCCATTTTCCATTTTCTTGTATTATAGCCCCGTTTACACTACACTCATTTTTGGCACGGCACTCTTAAATAATGGCACGCGGACCAAATTTTTAGGCACGGCACTCTTAATTTTCGCAGTGTAAACGCAAAATTAAGGGTCCGCGTGCCATAATTGTTTGACGGGCCGAGACCTAGCTCTTCAAGGAGGTAGTCCCGGCCCGCTTAAAATATAGCACGCGGCCCTAAAACTAATTACGCATGCGTATTCCTTGAAAAAGAAAACAAGATGGCGTCAAAAACAAACCCTACTTACACTTAATTGTGCTCTATATATCGGATATAGAGTGCTAATAATTAGATAAAGTCAGCCCTGAATTTATCCAATTCAAGGCACCTCTATATCCCATATTCATGGACCACAAGTGAGGGTAACTAAATTATATTACACCCAGAGGTTTGAGTGTATAATCATTCGGAATAATGTTATATTGTATGGTCATCAAACTCAACTTTGAAAAATATACTGCATACACTACTTCCGTCCCTAAAACTGTACTTATGTCTAACTGGTGAAATATTCAGCTAAGGCATCACGAATTAGCTCTGCGTCTGGTGCTGGCGTTTCATCAATTGGAAGTATTGGTTCCTCAATAAGTACTTCAGCATCAGCCCAATCAGGAAGAAATTCATTTTTAAGAGCTTCGCATATGTTATGTAACACGCAGGAGGCCTGTACAACATGTGCCATGTCCACCCGCTTTTTGAATCTGATGTATCTTCCTTTTCACCTACCAAAGGTGTTTTCTACCGTCATTCGTGCACGACTAAGACGATAGTTAAAAACACGTTGACTTCTTGGTACCTCGTTCCTAGGGTAGCCCTTTAACACCATGAAAACAGCGGATAGGCTGGGTTCCCTATTGAGATCATCTGGGAAAAGACAGTTATCCCTTCCTTTTGCAAAAGTGGCTGAGTCGGAGAAAACCCGCGCATCATGTACGCTTCCTGGCCAACCGATAACTACGTCCCTGAATATATAATTACAATCTACCACAGCCTTCACAAGGACGCTATAAAACCCCTTACGGTTGACATAATCTGTGTGATTTTTGTTAGGTGCCAGTATCGGTATGTGAGTTCCATCTAGTGCGCCCGCACACATGGGAAAGCTCCATGTCTCTTCATAACCTCGTATGACTCGCAAAAGGTCATCACCCTTAGGGAAGCTGATATGATTTGGAAACTGCTTTGCTATTACATGACATACTTCTTGAATGCACCGGCACACAAACGACCGTGAAACTCTGAATAAGTTGCTAATTGTGCGGTATTCAGCCGTGGATGCTAGATAATATAACTGCCAGCCGTCGCTTCGCTGAAACTGCTTCTCGAAGATGTGTATTTTCATGAGCTATTTCAGGCTCAACCTATCTGAGAATAAATGTAAACGTTTCTTTCGTAACTCTGAAGTTAGCATACCATAGCTCGTCGTTGTAGGTGTCGTCCACCATCTCAAACCAGATCTGTGTTCGTGGGTGCATCCACAGTATTCTAGTTCTTTGGCGATGAATTCTTTTTTACCTTTTCTTTTTATCAGTGGCGGCGCCAGGCCTCAGAATTTTTTTTTTTGGGGGGGGGGATTTTTTGGTGGGCAAGATAGAATTTTTAAAAAGGTACTTCTATTTGCCCATGCCGTTGTCACAGGACTTTTGTCCCTCCCCCCCCCCCGCAGGAGATTCTCCCCCTCTCAAAAGGGGGCGATATTACTAGGAATACCGCCCCCGGGGGA